CTCGTAGGACTCCTTGTCCATCAAGAGGTCGTTCACTTTTGCTCCATACTCTACTTTATCCATGACGACCGTCGAGCGTCATTTGTCCTTTGGTAAGAATTAATATCGACTAGCTTGTATGAAAAGATGAACATTATTGATTGCCTGTTTAACTGATACGCCTGCCCATATAAATGTATTTGCCTGACGAGAAGTTATCGAAAGTAAACGTACACTCGCCAAAGGTTCTTCTGAATATCGAGATTATCTTTTGTTGAAGATAATTCCACTCCCTGCGGAAACTTGGGATTGCTGAGTGGTTATCAAAATCTGCTTAAAAAAGTGAGCCATTTTTGGTCATCCTAGCTTCTGAGTCTGTTTTTCTCTAACACTTTTCGTTAAAGTTATCCAGTGTGGTAATGAGTCTACGCACGGCATCTTGTAGCATTAAATGAAGAGTGTAAACTGTCACCCACAGCATGTACTTGTAGGAAGTGTAACATGTGCTAAACACTTTTGTGTGCAGGTGTTGTCCATACATCGGAGCAGTATAAATATGTGCAAATGCAAGAATGTTTTTTTAACACTTTGGTAATTAAAACTTTTACTCCAAATGGCATTCGTGGGCCTTTGTATTTGATAATACGATGGTACAAGGTCGTTTCTCGAAGAGCTTTACTGGGGAATGAAATTATAAAAGTTATGAAATGAAAATGCGAGCCCAAGGAGGTAAATGAGAAGAAATGGACGAGAAGATTGGGTCGAGGCCTTTATTTTGCCGACGTTTCATATTCCAGCTCGAGCCTTTTTATTAGAGACTGCATCAGTTAAGGGTAACTCATAAAGAGAAAGGTGCGGTAGCTATAGGCTGGATGCTCAGCCACTGACTATCTACTAAAATTAACGGCTCACACTTCATAGGGTATAACAGCCCTCTGGTGCATTACCAACAGTTTGACCGTCTCTCTGGACCACGAGTTTCAGCCGACTGAAGCAACGCAGTGACTCCTGCGCGATTTTAGTTAAAGTCAACTTGCGGAAAATCTAGCCCACTCTCTGACCACTCCCACACCTGTGTCCGATGTAAAGCCAAAAGTCACATAAACCAGAGATGTGGAAGGGTGCAGGCGGCTGGCGCGACCAACCCTTAATACGCGTACCAACAGCAAACGTCGCTAGGTACATAGGTTCCCTGCATGAGAGCGCCATAAAGGCCACATTAAGAAGGAGACATTGAGCCTGACTCTCAGCCACTCCACTCAGCAAGACACACACTGGGCTGACTGCGGTCTCCAAGTCATCCCGTCAGTTGGAAACCATCCAAGCCACGGCTTTAAGTGCACCGTGATAGCTTCAATCAAATCAGCTTGTTTTTAGTGAGGAAAGAAATGCGCTGAGGATCGAACTCACTCTCTCTCCTGCACCACCCGCAACAGGCCACCGCCTAGCTGATCGGTCGCCTGCGATGAGATGGGCACAGTGCTTTAATCGGGATGGTTAGCTTCCGATACGCCAGTAGCTTAATAATGGGCATGCGGATCTTTTTCTGCAAATCGTTCACACGGGCGGTATAATTTCAGTAGATAACGATTCGCCTGCCGGCTATAAATCCACTAACACACCGATGAGGTAGAGCTACTTCTGTTCATAGGTATGTAGAACCCTAGCGATTCAAACTCCCTGCAACTCCTTGTGTACGAATTACCTGTACCTGATGCTGTCTTGGAATATGGGTTCGAGTTGGAATCCAAAACGCCCGCGAACGAAGTCCACGTTCTGGAAGCCACGCAACTACATCACTCACGATAGTGCTTATGTTAGCTGAAGGATATCAGTCATTTAAGGGAAGAAGTGGTACAGTTCAGAATTATGCTAATTGGCGAATACTATGACCTTGCTCTGCACAGCCAGGAGGGACAATGCTAAAGAGAAGCCGTTTTTTGTTTTCGTTTTAGGTGCGACAGTCCAATTAACTCCGTCCTTGCAGCTAGAAACTGGAAAACATAACCTACTCGGAATTACTCGGTCTCTAGAGAATGTTATTACTACTTTTGTTAGCACATTAACACTAGCATTAAATGTTAAATATGTTTCTACAGAACTTGTAAAACATGTATTTTATAAATATCTGTCGTGGACTCTACATTAAATCTCCTACAGTAAGATATCCGATTGTATACGATGCGAAGAACAACAAAAAGCCGAAAGAGTAATGAATTTGAAGTTTCTTTATTTATCTCGAGCAGATGTCGGAATTTAGCTGTTTATCAGTTAAACTTATAAATACCTGTCATTCATACTATCAGAAACCTGTCCAACTATTTAAAAAGGCGTGTTCATGGGAATTTTATCAGAATAAAGGCTTTTATTTTTACTATTCTTCTAAAGCAACTGAGTTTTAAGGAAAACATACGCTAACTTAAAAACGTAGTGATTTTGTAATAGTCCATCATAGTGCAGAATAAACAACACATATGAAGTAAAATTTTAAACAATGTATTTTAAAGACTTTTTAAATTCTTTTAATGTGCTCTAATAACCATTGCAGGATTGTCTTTGGATAAATATTCGTACCTCAAATGAGGGCGTCAAATAATTTGTAACAGAAAACCATCTTTTGGAGAAACAGTAAAATAAACCGTGGACAGATTTTTAGCGCTACAGTGCCAAGATAATAAAGCACTTTCATGAATATGCCTGTAGTTAAGCCTTCTTTTGTATTACGATTAGGATATTCTGTATTGTAGCCGTCTCCTTCAACGTGCAATTGCTTATGTAGCTGTCAATAATTTTGAAGATATGACCTTTTGCCCTAAATTAAGCTGAATTATACATATAATCAAATGTTATGCCTACGTTTACGGCCTTAGCTAATAACGCAGAATACCAATTACCGTTTTGATAAGATATTGGAAGCTTTCGGTCAAATCCTTCGCTCTACATTTATCGTAACGATGAGTATTTTTAAGAAACTCAATCTGCACTCACTGTATTGACAATTACATTAGCATAGGATATTCAGCGCAGCTTAGATGTTTTCATTGAATATTTACAGTAAAAAAACATACCAAGGAGCCAGGAGAATCTGCCATCGAATTTCACCGAATTAAAAACGTTCTTTAATGTTACTTGACTTCTCATGGCAATTTGACGCCAACAATATAACTGCTTCTTGTTAATATAAATTTCTCAGTTATACTTCTACCAAGATAACCAAAGTTGCTTCAGTTGTTTTGCATGTATTTCTATAAAACGTTAGTCGGAAAAAGGCTTATATATCGGTTCAGGGAATATTCAGGCGCCAGTGAGCAAGACAGTGTGCCTTTACCTTGGTTACGAACTCAACGTACGTGACCTAGGTTCCAATGTATGCGTGGTCACAATTTAGAATTGCTTGCGTTCGTTATGTTTGATGCGATTTGATGTGCATCCTCATCACGGACTAGGAAATTCATGGTTCTAGTCAGAAATAAAGAGTGAAAATGTGAAACTCTTTCATAAAATAATGACATCTTTCAACATTTATCCACTGCGTAAATACCTTTTAGGCTCGGTGAATAGAAACCGCTTTCAAAATAAAGTGGAAGACATCATTTTTAATATAATAAATGGATTTCCCTAGGATATGTCCACAGAATGACAAGAAAATGAATTCACTTTTAGGTAAACCCAGGGTGCTCTTCGATTCGTGATTCGGGAGCCATATTTGTGGAGGACATGTCTCCTATCGGGAGTAAATTTGTGCCTTCTTATAGCTATCTATGGGTCATATGCGCATGTTTAAGTAAAAAAAAGCTCAGTGTTTAATCTGTGTATTTTCTTCCTTACGTGGAGCTGCTTATAAATCCTCATAAACAAGTTCTTAAAGAAGGGGCAGACCGTGTTTATTTTTTACGCTACGTACTACCTGAGTACCCGAACATATGTTGCTTTGCTGTTCCGTCCCTGCATGCTATATTTGCGAGGTTTTCGGCTAAGCAACGTATCCCCCAGCATTCTCTGCGTGCCGAAAATGGAAAGTAGGTCTCCCCTGTCGTTGTAGATTTCACATTACCATCATATTACGAAAGGCGCTATGACTGCCTGCGAGCGCTCTTAAGTGAATTTCAAAGCCAGGGCAACGACCTGTTCCATAACAATTTTATGAAGCTTCACAATATCATATATAGGCGGAAAGGCATTACCGGCAAAGCCAATGAAGATCTGAATGGCCACTTCTGGCTTATTTGCCGTCGTTATTAGCCAGCCATACCAAATTCCAGGTGATACCCCATCCGAGGCTGTATCCTGTAACCTTTTGGTCAGAAGTCCAATGCACTTACCACTGAGCCACGAGTCCTTTGCTTTGCAGATTTCGATTGGAAATATTAAAACTGACTGGCATGTGCTCGCCGATGGGTTATAGAACTCACTCATTCCGTTGTGCTCTGGAGCTCCCTCTCTCTTGTGCTCAATCAGCAGCCATCTCAACGGCACGTGCCATTTAGCATCGC